CGTCGGGAGTATATGCAGAAGGGGGACAAAAGAGTTGCGAAGTTCATGCCTAGATACGACGGTCCATACGTCATTCTGGACGCACACCCAGGAAGCTCAACATACACACTTGATTTACCAAACTCCCCAAACATATTCCCAACCTTCCACGCCAGCCAATTGCGCCCGTACCACGCGAACGACCCCATTCTTTTCCCTACACGCGAACATCCGCGACCTGGACCCGTGGTGACGGAGAACGGACAACTAGAAACCTTCATCGATAGAATCATCGACGAACGAAAGGTCGGAAGGGGAAAGAAGTACCTCGTACGTTGGGTTGGCTTTGGCGAAGAAGATGACGAGTGGCTGCCGAGGAGGGACTTGGAAGACTGCGAGGCTCTGGACAATTGGGAGAAGGGACGTTCTCAAGGATAGTGGGGAAGGGTGTAAGCATGCGCTTACTTTCATGTGATTAACGCGCCCTTCGTTGATTGGACACCGTGCCATAATTGTCGGTGTTTGGCTGCTAACGCTCATTCAGTATATATAGCTCACCGCTGATGTATCGATATCTTATCTCTTACCGTATCACCGAATCCCATACGCTCATCCACGTTACCGCTGTCTGATTGTCCGCTAGTGTTGATCGTCTACTGTGACGACCTTCCACCATGCCATTGCAATTTGTAGTGTCGACAAAATCCACGTATTGCGCCACCACCCTCAACAATATACATCCAAATACCGCAGTAGAAAATGTCAACCCAAAAAGATGACGTGATCACCTTCCAAAGCTCGCACTTCGCCGGCAGAATTTCCGGGCAAAATCCAAGTCTGACCCAAAAGAAACGACAACGAAATAAGGCGCGCACCTTCCACAGCTCATACTTCGCCGGTAGAATTTCTACGATGCAAAGAAAGTCGAGGCTCCATGTCAACCTGAGTCGTATCAAAACACCGTCGTTATTTATTGGACAATGAGTTTGATTAGCAAAAAAACATCATCTGGGGCTCTATGTCCAGCATGAAGCCATTTCGGAAATCATATAACATAGAGACCATAAAGAGCGACAAGAAGGGGAAATATAGGCCTGCCACCTGTGAAAGATGCCAGTGGAGATACTGTAGGATAGGTGCATGTACAAAGGGGGTAAATGCGTGTGTTCCGCGATCGCAGCCGGATGAAACGGGATATAATGCACATAGAATATATCCTGAAATCAAGACGATAAGGCGGTGCCTTCATGTAAATGAAGCATAAAGTAAAAACCACACACCGCTCATACGCCGGTCCCAGATGAGTGCCCAAAGCACCTTGACCACCGTCTCAGCGATGTGGTGTACATCGCCCCTACCGCTTAGAGGCATTTGCCCAAGGGCTCGTAGGTTTGGCCGTCTCTGCTGCCAGCTTTTGAGCCCTCAGCATGGCACTCTTGTTGACGCAGGGAGCGATAGTCAGAGCCTAGAGGACTGCTCAGACGACGGATCATTCGTTGGAACGTAGCCCCGTCAGGTTCATCCACGCTAGCATTCGAGGTCGTGCTCGCAGTGCTCACTGCAGAACTCTCGGAGGCCTGAGGGGAGTAGCTACATACTTGTATTGTTCGAATTTGCCCTCGATGTGACGTGAGAGGCACGAGAAGACGCGCGAGACGGGACTGTGAAACTTGAACGAGCCCCCAGGCACCTTAGGCGCGACGGAGTACAGTAAACGGACTAAAAATTTGACCAACACTCATCGACCAAACAAGATAAAACAAATTAGAACGATGGTACCGTAAAGTGTTGCTCAGTTGTGTATTGAAAGAGCAAAGCCGTCACCAATATTAATGACTTTCGCATGCAAAGCTGCTGGGGATTGTTGGTTCTAGAAACTATAGATCCGCCCAGGAGGTACTTAGGGCAGGTTGTGCGAGGCCCAACCATAGGGCGGCTGCCTTTAAATTGGTCAACCTCGGAGCAATGGTAGGTGGCGCAGTGAACTCTGGACGCAACAGTGACTCGGAGCGTTTCAGAGCGTTTGTGGCCTGGAACACCTGCCACCCTCAAGTTAATCCTCTCTTTCTCGATCTCTTTCTCCGCCTCATTGACATTGTTTTTCTCCCTGCGAGGTGGGATCGGCCTACTAGTAGTATGGACTCATCCGGGATTCGAGCAGAGATTTGGAACTGTCCTCAGTCAGCCCTTAAGTTGGCGGAGAAGGGCAACTTTTGTTGTGCGTGGAGAGATATCAGGAGCCAGATGTGTTGATGATGCACACTAAAAGTTTTGGAGACACTCACTCGTCAAAGAACCAAGCATCATCGCCGAAGAGCTCGAAGAATGTGTCGGGGTCCGTGATCTTCGTATCAAATTCCTTTCATGTGAAGTCCTGCCCGCAACTCTCTTTTTCTTATGTACCACCGGTAGTCTGAAACTTCTGTTGTGCAGATCGTATACTATGTGCTAGTCCGGCCAACATTGCGCTCAAGCAAGCTAGCGTCGAATTTCATACCACTTTTTGAGCATGTCCGTAGTATCATGTATGTGCACCCATTTCACATTGCCCTGGTCATCTTTGGCAGAAGAAGAGTCATTCATGGTCAACATGATCGCACACCACACAGAGGCCCCATCTGCAGTATACCAGCCTGATTCAAGTATATTGATGTGTTGACTCATCGCATATACTTATAGCATCAAGATAACTGGACATCCACACCGGTCAAGCCGAAAACGTATTCCGCAGGGTCATGATGATCCCGTTAACTTTCTTGGATCGCAACTATGAAATACATCTCACTCGCCACTTCACAACTTCCCTTGCCCTGCCCTTGCAGATGCCGGCGTACTGCACATTGTGCAGATCGTATACTACATGCTAGTTCAGCCATCTCACTTTCTAAGTATGCTGCCACCGAAAGACAAGACCGTTGACCACCTTTATTCACAGTGTTTTTGTGGAACCTCAGGTCTGTTTTGCAATTTTGAATTCGCTATCTCAAAGCCATCGATTGCTAGAAAGTCACATCATAACTACAACCTGGTAAGTACCAGTCAGCCCACAAACACATTGATGTGGGAGTCATGGATCCATGGACATCCCATCGAATGAGGGATGTATTATGGCCCAAGACGGCCCCCGCCGCAAGAAGCGTCGTTTGGTTCATCGGATGAAACCATCCGGTTGTGGGATGTCTGGACGCTGCGATTACCTGCAGAGGAGCATGTGAATGGCGTCAGTTCTGTTCTAGTTTCGCCAGTTGGAAAGGACATTGTGTCTCGATCTGAGAACCTCGCAATCCATGCACACGATGCACGACCAGTGGAAAAACGCGACCTGCAGCACTTCATATGTTCTCTCCCCGCACCTGGGACATGCTCCTTCTCGACGACAGTACAAAAATCGGAGCTCCCAGTTAGAATTCGGAAAAGATGGGCTGTCTTTGGACCGAAGGACTGCCCTCCGAGGATATCCTGCTTACTGCTCCACTGGATCTCAGCAATACCACTCACGGATTATCATGGGAATCTTGTTATAGACCACACGCACATGTTTGACATACGTGTAAGCACAAAATTTGTTGTAAAGTACATCATAACGACCTTTGCAAGATGAATACTTTTTGACTGTAACGTCTCTTAGCGACGGTTTCATTGTGTTCTGGACCAACTTTATCTAGACATATCCTTGCATCTAGGATCTACTGTTTGGATTAGTACATACAGCTTCAAGTTAGAACGGCACCACTTCTGAGCTTAAGAGTCTTACCAAGGCTCGTGATGCACATGGTGCTGTCAATTTAACTTGCCCTGCGGGTGTTGTCAGATAGAGACCGCAGTTGTATTCTGTCCATGGTTACTAATTACATGACTCCACCAGATTGTATACAAAATCCTTCCCCACACGGGTTACTACTTATTGTCGCTCGACTGCTTCGACCGCAGGTCATCAAACATCCACATCCACAAGTTCCGAACGGATGTGAGAACGTGGTAAAATACTGCAAGGGAAGGCCATAACAGAGCTAAAGCGACGGCAATGTTAGTGACTGGAGGATGTAATGGCATAAGGAAACCACGTACTGAACCAGTCCCGTCGTGAATTGAGGGGTAAAGTTGATCACATTGCCCTGGTCATCCTTGGCAGAAGAAAAGTTGACCGTGGCCAACATGGTTACAATAGCAGACCACACAGAAGCATCCGCGGCATACCGACCTGATTCAAGTATGTTAATGTCTTGACTCGTCGCATATATCGCATCAAGATAGCTCAACACACCTGGACATCCACGCCGGCCTAAGCCGAAAACGTATTCCGCGGGGTCATCATCCGTCAACGCACCGTTGACGTCAATAAACCTCTCTGGCATAAAACGAGATGCTTCGGGGTACCGCTTTTCATCTCGTGAAATGCTCCTGCAATATAAGGTTAGCAGTCTCAACAACTGGAGAGAATATATCTGACCATAGTGTTGCATATCACGGTCGCTCCTAATATACCATATTATAAATGATTTGCGAGTCATTGTACAAAGACAGCAGACCTTTTGGGATGAAGTAACCATTCGTAAATATCATCACTCGAGACGGCATGTGCTACGCCTATAAAATCATCTTCAGTAAAGGCGAATCGCTCAGCGAGGAAGATTACCAAGGGGCGTAATAGGGTGCCATCGCCAAGTCTCCCGCAGAACTGATTCGACGTAGGGTAGTGATGCCCTGTCCTCAAAGGTAGGTAAGCGATCTCGTCCAACCACCGAGTCTATTTCCGCTTGTGCGCGTCTTTGAACATCTGGGTAAGACATCATGGCGAAAGCAAAAGCCATCAAGGTTGAAGTAGTCTGTGAAGAGGTTGAGCAGCAGACAATATGGTTTGCTCATTCGCCGACCGTCTCAATTGAACCTGCGTATTGTGTATTGTCAAGAGACTATCGTCCCTCGTAAAAGATGACGAACCCATGATAGCAGATGTAGCTGCTTTCTTTAAGGCGGCCTCAAATATTGGTTTGGATGCTTGATCTTGCTTCTCCATCCGTTTCAAATTTTCTGGGACCATCGAACACTGGTCAAGGAACGAGTTTTCGGCCTTTAACAAGTATGTGATCAAATCCAAAATAAAATAAAATAAAATAATAAACCATATGCTGCTGCGCATATCGAAACGGCACGTCCGCCATTTCATTCAAGGCATTGGTCGAAGCTTGAGCATCGCGTTTGATTGAAGATCCCCAGCACCAGTCAGGCAATTTCAATACTGCGTGAGAGTACACCATGTCAACTCCTCTGTCTCAGATTAAAGGGAGCCGAGCTCACAGAAGGGGAAAGTTTTGAGCAAAATTGCTCTCTCTGGGGTCAACATGACAAGGCCAAGAGCCTGTGCATGTTCCGCGATTCGAACCAGAGGATCATCACGAGCACTGAGCTGGTAGTCGTATACAACTGACATCGCAACAGAGGACGAGAATCTGTGGGATAGGATTAATAATCATTCAATATTTTCAAACACAATGGCTGACGTTGCGAAGTGGGTATGATAATGTTGGGGTTCATCGATTAGATTGACGATCATCTCACGAGCCCGTCTCATCTGTATTGGGCGGAACTTTACTGCAGACTCGGGACGGAAAGTTTGGTGGAAGAGTCGTCGGGAAAGACGCCATTCATCACCATAAGCTATGAACGCAAAGTTGATCGACCAGCCATATCTGCATGCACATCAGACTGATTGAATGGAAAAATGTTAGAAGAACACACGGCTTGACTGTGGCTAAGTATGGTCTATCAGAGTAAATCCGAGACCGCTTGTCCATTAAGGCTTGTGCAACATGCTGAGAATTGATCACGACCGCGTCCTGGTCTAGAATCCGCACGAAGACCAGATCCCCTAATAAAATGATTTGCCCCAGAAATGCACTAAACTGTCTGTCAACGTACCATAAACAGCACGCCATCGAGTATAAGTCAACCAAGGTTCTTTAGCGTCGATAGATAAGACATTCCCTATTAGTGGGAGCGGCACTGGGCCAGGAGGAAGGGGAGGCCTGTTTCGTCTATTCTCAACGAACCGCCTGAGGGCAGTGATGACAGCAAAGGAAATAAGTAAGGTAGCGAGGATAGCAAGGCGACCATCAACTGAGGGGACCATGGTTAGAGTAGTGCATCCAAAGCATGAAATCAATTGAACCTTATAAGAACACGGGGAAGTGCCTGCACCCGCGTTCGTGGAGTGACGGATTCGGCAGGACGGTCTGAAGACTTCTGGATCAATCCGATCGAGTCACAGATGAGAAAAAGAAGACAATATTAATGGCAATTGGCCCAGGAGGAAGGGAGGCTTGTTCTATATAGTGCGCGTCACTTAGCCACCGCTACTTTTGTGCAACCCCTTTGATTTTATTTCCTCTTGTATAAATAATCCTTTTTAACAATCCTACAAGAGAAAATTTTGATTGAATTAAATCTGAGCGAGATATATTTCTCATGAGGGGTCAATTTGGTCACATATATGACCTACCTATCAGTCAAACGCGTGCGCCAACATCTCTGGGACACGTCTGTGTGACTTGTATTTCATCGAACTGAATTGGCAGACCCGAAATTGCGCATCCTTTGTGTCCAGGCCTGTGTGATATGCTTCCATCCAACGGTACATACGATGTTCCCACAGTCGGATCATGAATGGTACTGAGCTGCATAGACTGCATTGCCAACGACATGTTAGTCTTTAATGTGTTGATCTTCATCTCTTTTTTTACATTCAGCTCGATCTCGAGCCATCTTATGCCTCCGACGCTGCTTTCGACTGGAGAGGCCATTGTATCCAAGATTTTTCCATCGCGCTGTGCGCGCCCGTGCAGCTGAGAGTTGTTTGTGTTTTTTCGGCATTGCGAATCAAGCAATTGGAAACAACTGACTCAGAGCTTACAAATGTCTATTGTACCGAAAAAAAAAATGTCATTCCGTCAACACGATGCACTAAAACAAGTTAAGCTCGGACTCCAGGGAGTGGCATATCCGGTCGTCGGCATCCAATTTGACCAAAGTAGTGGTGGCTAAGCACACTATATCTATTCTTAATGAACCGCCTGAGGGCAGTACTAGTGACGTCAACAAAGGAAATAGGTAAGGCGGGAATATAGCAAGGCGAGCATCGACTACAGGGCTTATGGTTAAAAATAGTACGTAGGTAGACATCCAGAGCACGAAACACACCTTCTAACCACACGGAGATATACTTCTTGCCCCTTGTACTTGTCATCTCCGGGGGTCGGAACAGAACTGAAGAGTTGAGAAGGACAATCCGGTGTCGTACTGACAAAAAAGATCATCAGATCAGATCTATGCCCGACAAAACCCACATATTGTGTCACCGTCAACAACACGCATATCATGATGAATGCCGCAGGCGCAAAGTATGTCGACGTCATTCGTACATGGGCGAATCAAGTCTGACTTCGCCGGCACAATTTTTATGATCCAAAGAAAGCCGAGATTGCTCCATGTCGACCTGAGTCGTATCAAAACACCGTCGTTATCTATTGGACAATGAGTTCGGCTAGAAGAAAACTTCATCCGGGGCTTTATAACCAGCATGAAGCCGTTCCGGAAACCATATAACAAAGAGACCATAAAGAGCGGCAAGAAGGAGAAATACAGAACTGGGAAAGATGCGAGTGGAGATACTGTAGGATAGGCGCATGTACAAAGTAGGATGTTCCGCGATCGCAGCCGTATGAAATGAAAACTAGTGCACATAGAATATATCCTGAAATCAAGACGAGAAGGCGGTGCCTTCATGTAAATGAAGCATAAAATAAAAACCACACACCACTCATACGCCAGTCCCAGATGAGTGCCCAAAGCGTCTTGACCACCGTCTCAGCAATGGGGCGCACCTCGCCCCTACCGCTTAGAGGCATTGGCCCAAGGGCTCTTGGGTTTGGCCATCTCTGCCGCCAGCTTTTGAGCCCTGAGCATGGCGCTCTTGTTGGCGCGGGGAGCGATAGTCGGAGCCTGGAGGCTGCTCAGACGACGGACATTTCGTTGGGACGAGGCCCTGTCAGGTTCATCCACGCTAGCATTCGAGGCCGTGCTCGCAGTGCTCACTGCAGAACTCTCAGAGGCTTGAGAGGAGTAGCTACTTGTATTGTTCGAATTTGCCCTCGATGTGACGTGAGAGGCACGAGAAGACGCCCGAGATGGGACTGTGGAACTTGAACGGCCCCGAGTAGCAGAGGCTGTTCCGGCGGTGTCATGATAGGCGCTGAGAGAAGAGCTGCTTCTCGACTGAGTGCCAGCCCCACCAGGCACCTTAGGAGCGGACGGAGTACGGACTAAAAAAACTCGGTGCGTCAGTGACCGACTTAGCGACCAAATAAAAGAAAACAAAAAAGAACGGCGGTAAAATGTCCTGTTGCGTGAAGAGAAAAGCTGTCACCGACGACTCACACATGAAGCTGCTAGGGGGAGGACCGCCCTGCTTCCTGAGTGCTGCACTCTTGTTCGTTCTAGGAACTATAGACGGGGCTTCAGTCGTGCTTGCGACAGATATCGATTGGCGACGTTTGTGTCCAGGGACACCTTCAAAAATATTTTTCCGTCCTCGCCCTTGCTCAGTCTCTGTATCTTCTCCTTCTCCTTCTCCTTCGACATCGCTGGGTAAACCAGATTTCTGCTGAGAGACAGCATGCGCATTGGCACCGACTACTTTTCCATTTGTGATTGAGCCAGAAATTGATGCACGTCTCCGCCCAGGAGGTAGGGCAGGTTGTGCGAGGCCTAACCGTAGGGCAGCTGCCTTGGTCAACCTCGGAGCAATGGTAGGTGGCGCAGTGGACGCAACAGTGAGCGTTTCCGAGCGCTTGTGGCCTGGAACACCCGCAAACGTCCTCTTAATCCTCTCTTTCTCTATCTCTTTCTCCGCCTCATTCTCTTTCTCCCTGCGAGGCGGGATGCGGCCTGTGCTAGCTATGGACATCCGGGATTTGAGCGGAGACACTTTGGGGACCGTCCACAGCCAGCCCCTGACGGAGAAGGGCAGCTTTTGTTGTGCGTGGAGAGATATCAGGAGTCAGATGTGTTTTTGGAAGTGGCCGTGCACGAAAAGGTTGCTTTCCACTAGGTGATCCATTGGAACTAAGGCTCAGGCGTGCCGAAAATTGGGGTGCACGTGCATCTGAAGACCCAGGGGATGGGGTAAGTACACCTGGAGGAGCACTCAAACCTAACTTGAGAGCTTCCAGGATCGCAGAGTCGACCGAACGCACAGAACCGGGGTCGAAGTCATCGTGTGAACCCAGATCATCGTCGACGGGAGGGAGATCGCTGATGGGAAAGGGAGGGCTGGAAGCAAACAGAGACGCTATCTGTATTTCTGCTTGCTCTTCGTCCTTTGCGCCTATTATTGCATCGTTTAGTGAAGGCATTAATGTGAGGAGAACTTGGACAGCGCGTCTGCGCTCAAGGACATAGACCCAGACTGGACCACTACGCAGGAGTCAGTAACGGGACACAATAAGGATGGCTCAGGACGAAGCACACTAAATGGTCATTTTGAGATACTCACTCATCTAGGAACCGAGCATCATCACCGAAGAGCTCGAAGAATGTATCGGGGTCCGTCTCCGTATCAAACTCCATTTGGCGTTCTTTCACTATCTATAAGGCAATGTGAATCAATCGTTGCATCTAATCAAATCGAGAAGTTTAAAAACTCTTGAACGCGACTTGAGTGCATTCACGTGTCGTATTCGAAAGAACGTGGACTGACGCGCGATCCAAGGACAAAGCATAAAAGTCCATGAAACTGGGACACTCACCTCGAAATTTGCCTCCAGAAGACGGGTGTTCAATGTCTAGGCGCTGCTCCAAAGCATTTGTCTTGATTATCGCGACAGTTCGCGTCAATTTAGCCGAGGGCGATGCAACTGAATGCAATCGCGTCCGACAAACGAGGAAGTCCATTATGTTCGTGAGGAGGATCATAGAACTCGATTGGATTTGCAGGGGACGGGGAGTGTGGGGATATGGACATGTGGGTATATGATCCCTTATAGCAAGATAGAATTTAAAGCGCAGGTTCTGAGAGTATAACCACAAAAAAAAACAGGGACGAGAACAGCACAAAAGCAAGAAAAAGAAAAGATAAACAGGACAGCCCTGAGCTCACCGCCGAATATAATGACAAAATTCTGTTTGTTTGGATGAGAGCCCTTCCCCAAGACAACACTCTCATAGCATACTGCTCCCGACGGACCTCGGACACTCGCGACAGTACTTATAGTCTCTTTCCCTGAATACGAGGCGAGGCAATACAAAAGGTGGTGAGATTCGTCGACAGCAGCGACAGATAAGTATCTTGAGAGGGGCTATGCTAATGATGCACAAGGACAAATGGTTTATATAACAGGCACTTTCACGGTCCCGACTGCAGGACGTAAGGTCGTTGCTTCATTGAAGCAATGAATTCATATCGTTATCTCTTGTCGCCTCAGTAGGCAGCAATGCAACTCTTCTATCC